TTTACTTTTTTATTAATAAAATATAACTAGGTTATATTTAAAAATAATAATAATTATTATTAATATTTATTATAAATTTTAAACATTAAAAAATTTTGATTTTTATAAACAATTAATTATAAAATAAGTAATTAAATAATATGAAAGAAAAAAAAATTTTTTAAAGAGTTTAATAATAAAGTTGAATAAAAAATTTTTTCAATCAATTTTTATATAATTTTTGAAAATATTTAGTTATAAAAATAAAAAATAATAAAAAAAAAACCAATAATTGAAATAAATTAAAAATATTCAAATAATTATTGAAAAAAAAAACTATTTTTTTTAAGTTTTTTTTTATAATATAGTTTATTAGTAATATGAAAAGTTATGATTAATTTGTTAAATTTTTAAAGATTATTGAAAATATTAGTATAAATAAATTTTATATTTTATTTATGTTGATTTAAAAAAAGCAGCGATAATCAAAGTTTAAAAAGATCATGTTAATGGAATAATAATTTAAAAATAGAAAAGTTGCTTTATAAGTTCTTATTGTAGTTTCATCATATCAATAAAAGATAGAAAATATAGAATTTTTTAAATGAAAAATTATTGATTCGATGGTTTTTAAATCAATAATAATAATTTCTACAAAAAATTACGGCGTAGACATTACGCATATTTTTAATATTCGATAATTGTTGTTATACGATGTGTACGTATTAAAAAATTTTCTTTTTATTAATAATAGGATTTATCAACAGTTCTTAATTTAATTATTTCTAATCTTTATTATTATTATCAGTCTGTTTCATATAGTATGTATTTTACAAATGTTCGATAATATAATCAAGATGCCTAAATGAAGTGTGGCATATACAGTAAAATATAGTATAATTACAATTGATAACATTTTAGATGATAAATATTATACATTATTGTTTGCTGAGATTAATTTTGGTATAGGAAACCTTACGAAAATTATTTACCGTTACTATTGTTATTCCATTAGCCGAAAATTTTGAATTGAATTGAAAGAACATATGCAGTATATATCTGCGCATACTGTATTTTATTAAAATCATTCTTGATTTACTGCGTAAAAATGGAAAGCATCATTTACAACCAACCGCCCTCGAAACCATATATGACCGAATGAACATTATAATGTATGATGAAATTTCATTAGGGATTGTTTGTTATGAGGTTGAGACGAGTCTGAATGGCATTTCGAGGAATATTCATTAAAATGATGGTGGCCGTTGTGGAAGAGAGCATTTAGGGAGAATTTTCTATAAACAAATTAAAGAAATTACGTATGCACATGCGTGTGATATTTTTAATAATACGTAATCGTTTTTTTTTTTTCATTCACAGCCTGTTAACTTCTTTATTCAGTTTGTGCGAGATATCAGTGCATATTAGATAAACTCAAGGGACAAAGGAAACCCAAAAGACGACATTCATAATTTCCAAATTTAGAGATAATTTTTTGTGAATAACGTGCACAAACAAAAATGTTTCTGATTTTAATCTTGTCTTGCATGTAGAACATACAAGTTTAATATACCGTACACAATGGAATTATTTGGAGATGGCGAAACCAGGATTTAGTAATATTAATATGTATTAAGAATTTGAGAATTTTTGTCCTAAAAAGGCGTGAATGTGGTAAATAAATTGTTATCTTGCAATCGTGTGAACAACGAAGATAGTCTCTCGAGACGAGTACAGACTGAAGACAAATCCACAATTTTAATATAGCATTGTCTTTTTTTTTTTTTTGCAAACCTGCCAAGAAGTCATGCTGTATATTGAGTAGAACCTTTAGAGACCAAACAGAGGTAATCGGTGTACTTAAGGGACGCGTACAATGGCACCAAGAAAGAGTTTTCCGTTTATATGCATTTGGTGAATGGAACGCGTGTGTGATGTCAACTAGTATAAAAACAGCTCGGATATTTTTTTTTTATAGCGGCAGTTAAATTTGCATGATTTCGATCTCCGAGTTCATTTTTTTTCTGTCGATGTTTTTTGGTGTAGCGTTGTGCGCTCTCAAATACCGTAAGCACGATGCGCTCTGTGTGAGACTGCGGTACTGACCGATAGGGTTAAGATTATCTTTGGAAATTATGTCAGCATCACAACATCTCGCGATCTCTTCGGTTGATATTAATCCAAAAAGGGTTTCCAAATATTTACGTTTAATATATGTGCACTACGTTATCACCTCACACCGCATAATAAGCACGAGCAAAGAAACGAGCCGCAGCAGACCCTAGATCATAATTTTTCCGTCTAATCGAACGAAAGGTTTCACGGAAACGCTGAAAGAGCGAGAATTAGGCATGCACGATGATTTCAACGAACACATTTCCGCTATCTATTTCGCGTGCATAATCGACGGCACGCAAATTTTCACGTTTTCAGGACACAGGGAAACGAGTTCTTGACCTAAAGTAAAAAGTTGGATTCCGTCAAATTGGATGGGATGGTGGTGTCTGGTTTCATGTTTGACAAATGGGCGGCGTTAGTGTCTGGTATAACGCACGGGTAAATGTCGTCGGCTAAACAGAAAAGGATAAAAAACCTCATAAGCCAAGCCAATTGACCTTTTGTGATCCAAGAATGCATGGAGATAAAATTGTATTACCTATGCAGAGATTTTTTTGTTGTTGTTTATTCATTCATAGAAGTAAATATTTTCTTGGTTTACGCTTTATTATACTGTATATACACAGTATATGCACTTTTCTTTTTTCATATACACGACGACAATTTCGACATGATGTTGACAAGTGAAACCTCACACGAGACCATGCTTGAGTCCTACACAAGCGTAAACCTTGTTATTATTAGCCTAGTGTGTTTACCTTTTACAACAATCGACTCACTACTCGTTGGTTCTTGAAATTTTTTTTTTTTTACGCCAGCCTTTTCGCGGTGTGACCCTGAATTGTAAAATTTCTAATTTCGTAAGATTCTTATCGGTTTAATCAGCCGGAGCCTTTCTAAAAAGAATGGTAATAATAGTCTACAGAATATAGAAATGCATTTCGCCTTTAAAAAGTTTTCACCGACAGGTTTACAATTCTTTTTGTAACTGTCGTCATTTTAATTAATTTGCTCGTTTGAATTCTGGATCAATTTGCGACCAAATTTAGAGAGCTTTTTTATGTATTTTGTATGAAGCCGTAATTTCCTACCACGTGACATTGAAAGGGTAGCCCTTCCAATATACACGTACGCATATGAAGAACGCTGCAATATGAGAATGCAAATCATACAACCATACAACTCGAAAATACGACCGCATAATGTGCTACCACGAATTACCAAATGCGCCATATTTTAGGCGTAGGGCCTTTTTTGAAACGTGCTCCGATTTTAATAACATAAATTATACCTCGGTGCATGCATATTTCGGGACAAAATTCTCTTTATGTTGGTAACGTGCTCGAAGAAAAAAAGAAGGAAAAGGAATGCACACGTACCAATATTACATATCTCAGATCTAATATTGTACTTATTGAGATTCTACCGTGACACATCGGCCAAGTTACATTGCATGATTTATGCGTGAAGATAGTGTATATAAACCTAGACTAACTGAACTTTTATCTGCCGTTGATAAAAAACGTGCCCAATAATAATAATAATAATAAAGTTCCTAACCCGAAGAAACCCAGTTTAATGCTAAAAATGTTGTGTCACTAATTAGTTTCGAGTATTCAGATTAACCTCATCAAACATTTTTTGTATGTATCAATCAACCTTTTTTGTATCCGTGTGTTGCCTTTGTACGTTAATTAAATTCCGAAGGTTATTTATTAACCGCATACATGGTATCTTTTGTTTTGAGTTGAGATGTTCTCAGCTGGTAGATACGAAAAACTTGTTTACAATTTGTTTTTGTTGATTTCATTTTATTTTCCCCGCTAATTAAAAAAAAAAAAAAAACAATTTATATATATATATACATATATATATATATTCGATTGGCAATAAAGGTGATCCTCTCGCCGCGCCTACAAAGAAAATCATCCATGTGTTTACTTTTTCTCTAAAAATAAAAAAAAAAAATAAGAATAAGAATAGCGACAATAATAGTAATTTTCCTCCTCTTTTATTCTACCCATTCTGTGCATGTCAGAGGTAAATTATACGTATACAGTATACCGATTATTTCTTTCTCTTCGGTATGACAGAGATTATCCGACGTTTTTCTTTTTAAGTTTCATAAAAAATTACGATTCATTTCTTTAATTAACAAATACAACAATTCTGGATTTCATATAATGGTTTGTATCCAGCATCAGACGTCCGCATATATGCCAGCTTCCGAATGAACACAGACATCATATTTGCCTTTTCAGGATCTGATTGACTGGTATGTATAAATACTTTACGCTTGAAACTTTGCCCTTTCTTTGAATCCGAGATTGCAGCAGGTTATACTATGTCGTCAGTTACTTGGTATCGATTATAAAAAAAAAAAAAAAAAAAAAAAAAAAAAGACTTTCAAGGTACTATTCACTTAACTTTAGGCGTTGAACTGCACATGGCAAGAACTATCCTTCTTGTTTCAATTCTTTTTCTCTTATCCCTATATGAATGTGATTTCTTTTTGATCCTGGGGTAAACTTATTTTTAGTTTTCATTCACCTAACAAATTACCAGATAATATAAACGACTCACTTTTCACCCAGTTCACTTTTGCCTGTTTTTCATTGTACGAAAAATTGCCAATAAATTTATTTTATTTATTTATTTAATATTCCTCTAATCATCACTATTACCTTCTATTACACACAAAATTTGTGATTTTCTAAAAAACAATATAACGAGAATTGATTCTTGTTAGCTCTTAACCTAAGACACACCATTCTTGCATCAAAAAAAAAAATTTTTTTTTTTTTTTTTTTTTTTTATTATTTTTTTGTGTGTGTGTTGTTGTTGTACCTTTGTTTATTATTATTATTATTTGTAGTAATAATAATTCCTTTTTTTTTTTCATTATGACAACTCCCTTCAACTTACCGTCTCTCGATTCCGCTTACAACCTTCCCATTTTCCAACAACTCCCCCAGCAACAAAAATTCCATCATCATCAACAACAAGCCGTCGAAGCAACTGTGGTATCAAACATCTTCGCTAATCCCACCTCTTTTCTTCCTCCACAACAGCAACAAGCCGTGGCTCAATTAGCATATTTATATAATAGCAGCAATTGCAACACCGATAGTTGTCCTCCAACTCAACCCTCAACGATTCAACACGCGTTTTTATATAATCCTACCGCTTATCCTTCGCCACCTCTGGACGCTTCGACCGCGCTCCCTTCATCTAGGATGAACACTAACGATTCCGGTGATCATCACAATAATAACGATAACAACCAGAACTACCACCACAACGGATCCATGATTCCCGATAGCTCTCATCTCGCCCCTTCCCAACCTTCTTTTAACCCCGACCAAAAAACTCACACAATACCGACCATAACGGAAGGATATCAGACGGCAGCAAGGTGATTTGGCTCCTCCATTCCTTTCACCATTTGTTCACTTTGCGCATTCATAAATAGGTTACGGTCTCACCTCGCCTTTCTATCCCAACCTACAGTTATCCTGCTCCTCAATACCATCCTCCCCAAACACAGGTGGATCGTCGCACAAACGTGCCCATGGTTTCAATAAACCATCCAACCAAGATTGAACCAGGAACATCTGAAGGATCGACAGAAACCTGGACTCGCATTCCCGGTGCTGCAGAGACGGCAGGCACGACGCCTTATCCTTTCGGTCCGTATACAACAAAATCTGCAAAAGGCTATGATGATACCGCCTTCTTCACGGATCCTTCTATGAAAATACCTCCCGGCTCGAGTACTGCTCCACAGATGGGCTACTTCAATCCTGGGCCGGTTGGTTATGATCGTAACGGCATTCCGCATCCCGTAAATTTCGGTAACGCCATGCCGACTCCCCAAGATTATCCGATGCCCATAGCCGCAATGCAGAATCAAAGTGGAAATGGGGCACGCAACACTCCTCAATTCAATCCGAGCAGACCTTCAGTCCCAGCGCCTCAAACCATGATGACCACCTTCAGCTCGAAGACTGTGTCTTCCACGCCAAAAAGGTATAAATGTAACATTTGTCAGAAAAGATTCACCCGTCCGAGTTCTCTGCAGACTCATACTTATAGTCACACCGGAGAAAAACGTATGTCCATGCCTATCCGGTTAACTTGATGATTCGGTTTTAAAATCCGAAAAAATTACTAATCAACCATTTCACTTGTAAAATGGATCATACACACAGCTTTCAAATGTCCAGTTGAGGGTTGTGGTCGTCATTTCTCGGTCGTGAGCAATCTTCGTCGGCACCAGAAGATTCACACAAAATGAAGAGATCCGTGATTTGATTCCAAATTCCATCATTTCGGGAATATTTTAATAAACAATTATTCTAGTATACTCTCTCTCTCGCCGAAATCACCTCTCTTGATTCATGTTTTCGTGCACATTGGCCATTTTCAAAAAAAAAAAAAAGAAAGAAAAAGAGGAGAAAAAATAACAACAACAGAAACAAAAAAAAGAAACAAAACATGCAATTAAGTCAAATTATAGCGCGCGATTTCTTTCCACAATTGTATATGTAGTATGTAATTCGTTGAGCGAAAGATCCTCACCACTTTATTTCTCCTTTATAAAAAAACATATTCACAACTTTTTCTTCGCATCGAAATGTGATCGTAAAAGATTATCATAATTCGTATTTTTTTTTTTTTTTTTTTTTTTTTTTCTATACAAAAAAGAAAAAAAACATTGCACATTGTAATTTATATAACATATTATTTTTTTTATGCCCGCCCTTATTTTTCAATCTGTAAACTTAATCTTTTTTTTTTTTTCAAAAAAAAAAAAAAAATCGTGCACGTGTAATTAGTTTATTATATGCTTCTTTATCCCTTATATATATGATCTCTTTCCTTGTCCTGACAAACATATATATATATATAATGCGCGATGATACATTATGATTTATCCAATTCATATATTACGTAGTTAAAAAAAAAAAAAAAAAAAAAAACACACTGACAATTACGAATTTATTAATTTCAAAATTATACTTATGAATTCTCTTATCCCCCCCCTTTTTTTTTTTTTTTTTTTTGCTTACAACTATTTCAAAAAGGATTGAGCTTTTTTTGTTGTTGTTTTTATTGAATTTAAATCAATGTTTTCTCTCTTTCTTTCACCTACCTACTAATTTTTTTCTCAAAAATCTCGCTTTACTACTATTATTATTATTATTTATTACGCATGTAAAAAAAAAAAAAAAATTTTTCTTTTTAATATCAAAAAATATGATGTAGCACATCCGATTTTATCTTTTATTCTTTTGGCTACTCTGGTTGTTGAGTGTAAGAGAAATAAAAAGTTGAACGACAAAGTTGGTATGATGAATCGGGCGCACGATGCAGCAGGAGTATTCGCGAACACGGTCAATCATTTTAGCGTGATCTTGGAATTTTTATTTTCCAAATGAATTCACGTAAGTTTGTTACATGTTTTGGAAAAGGGTCCAGAATTGATGTTCATTAGGGCTCGAAGCATCAAACTTGCAACGACCTCTGAAAATTCTTTGTTCACATGTGAGCGGATTAATTCGGTTGGTATATGAAATCCTTTTCAGACGTGAAGCGATCAAATGATGTGGAGTATGACTTGATTTTAGGTTTGGTTCAAGGTTTTCTTTGCTAATTTCGGAAAAATTGCTCGGATATTTACGTGACACGTGGAAGGTATAATTTTTTCCCGAAATGGTTGTTTCTTGCGGGACGGATATCTTTGTCTCTTTCTCCTGAAATTTTACACCTCTTTCTTAGTCCCTTCCACCGTCCCATTCTAAACTTGGATAAATTAACTCGATCACACTATGATCAATATAACTAGACGGCTTGTCGAAAGCAGAGTAAAATTAATCGAATGAAACCCTGAATAAAAATCGAGGGTTTGTTTTATTTTTATTTTATTGGATCAACTAGAAAAATTGTTGTTTTACAATTTTCTATGAAAAGTCTGTCAGCCGTCAAAAGAAATTTGATTTTTTCAGGTATCAATCCTCCTTTGAAGCCAGAGAAAAATCTTGGATTTTTTTCATTTACCTTTTCGTTATCAACAATTCTGTATCTGAATTCTATTTTACGTTACCGATACAGTTTATTGATTTTAAACGGACAAAAAGATGCTTTAAAGTTTCTATTTCTACGTTTTTATATATTGCAATATGCACAAATATCGTATATTTAAAATTCCTCCTCTTTTTTTTTTAATTAAAATCATGGTAGTTGAATTAACCTATAAGAAACCATATTTATTTAACCTTGTCATTTTTGGTTATCTTGATTTTTGTCAAGTAACAAGTATACGATCAAAATATTAAACCACCCGTTGAGACAAAAATTATTGTGATTTTTAATTCTCTATTATAAATCATGATAAAGTAGAATGACTTTTCCTAAAATTCGTGATTACAAAATAAATAAATAACCAAGTGTTAAACGTTATCGTACAAAAAAATACATGTTGTATTTATTATTACCCATTTATTGTTCTTTTTATTTAATTGATAGAATTTAAAATCAATATTCTACAATGTCATTTTTTTAATTAATAAAATTGTTACTTGTAAATTGTCATTGTAAATTATCATTGTAAATTTTCTTTTTATATATACAGTAAATTAAGTTATTGTTTAATTCCTAGTCAGGTTCACATGACTTTATTACATAAATATTCAAAATATTTACGAGTTTTGTAACTTTCACACATTAATTTATTCATAATTAAAAACCAATACTTCTCTCTAAGCATAATATAAAGGTTGATATTTTACTTTTTTTTTTATAGTTAAGATTTCTTATCAATTATTATTAATTCTACCATTATAATTATTTCATTATAATTTTATCTTTTAAATTAAAAAAATTGTTGATTATAGTACATTACTATAAATAAATCAAATTATTAATTATTTTATACTTTTAAATAAATCAAATTATTAATTATTTTATACTTTTAAATAAATTAAATTATCAATTATTTTATATTTTTAAATAAATTAATATAGTTGCAATATCAATAATATTATCAATGAAATTAAATATCAATTAGTTAATTTATAATAAATATTATTAATATCATAATTTATTTTTCTAAATATTTCATTAATTATATTTTTTTTTTATTATAAAATTTTTTTTAAATTAGTTATATATATTTTATTAAACATTTATAATTCAAATAGAATTTTATATAATATTGTCACTAAAATCTAAGTTCTAATTATAATTCTAAGTATAACTATAAAAATAACTATTACTTTATTTATAATCCATATAAAGTTTTTTTAAATACTTTTTTTTTTTTTAATTAGTCATACTGACTAAGCTTTATTGATCAGTTATTAAGAATTATACAGAGTTATTTTTACAAAAACAATTCTTATATCTAATCTATACTATCCTAATTCATTCAATCACCCTTAGATTTTATCTGATATAGATACCATCCTGTCAACTGCCTTGCTGTGCCTGTGCACTTCTGATGTTTCAAGGATTCATCAAGTGACTTTTTTTTATATTCAAAAAATTATTTTTTGAAATTGTTCGATTCATAGAGTCTGTTATACCTTGTAGAATATGTGTTCCATAATTAATATCCTTTTTTATTGTGCTTAGTTCTCAGAAAGTTAATTGTCCATTGATATTTTTTAGTTACCATGTGATCCTATCAAGTCTCATGGCAGCCATTGGTAAGCCAAATTGATGACTATAGTCTTCCAGTGACCATTTTTAACCACTCTTCAAATCTAGTTTTTTCAGAGATATCTCTTGATTACTTTGTAGTGAATTGCTCTTTCCATTGGATTGATTACCTTGGTGATTGTTTTCAAATTTCTTCTTCTAGAATCTACCTTTGTATTTCTCTATCATAACTATTCAACTTCATCACTCCTTGTTAGTGACTTACGAGATCCAATCTCTAGTAACCATTAGTAATAACGATCAAAGATCTCCTAGTATGTGTCTGATTCTTACATTTGCAACTGATATGTATGATTGAAATCTCCTAGACCTTTCATGAGATTGGAGTTTTTGAGAAAAGGTAGATTCCATATGAGGCTGATAGGTTCCTACTGTAGATGTTATTTTATTAGAGAGTGATCGATCTGCTATTGAATTGATGACTACATTAAAATCTTCTATAATTATAATCTTAAAATAATTTTTCTGCTTGACTAGGATTTTATTTTAAAATAGCTGTTGTAACCATCTACTTATAGTTTTTTCTGATGACAAATATACTTGATAGATATAGAGCCTATATCTTGTTAATAGAAAGTTGGTTCCTATTATATAACTTTCTATTTTTTTATAGAGTCTAGCTTTTTTTCAATATTCTTATTAATAAGAAGTTTTACTTCAGATCCTTTGGGTTTTTTATTATTGCTATAGTAAAAAAACTTGTGTATTTGTTGTAAAGTAAAGGTGAATTCTGTTGTTTCATTTGTTAGCTTGGTTTCACAAATTCCTAAGATATCTATATTGAGTTCATATAAGGGTTTATATAGCCATTGTTAATTCAGGCTGATATTAATCCCTTTGATATTGTATGTTCTAATTGAAATAATATTAGTTAATATAGAGTTATCTATAGTATATTTTTATATAGTATATATTCTTTTTCAATTCTATCAATAGTATTCTTTTGAGTATACTTATAAAATTATTCAATAATATATCATGTATTATATAAGGAAAGATTGTATTGATATCTATTGTTTTTTGAGGGGATTGTATTTTTTCTTTAAAAGAACTTAATTCCTTTTATAAATCAAACTCTCTCCTGATATATGTTGATTGAACTGGTACCAATTTCAAAAGTAATTATTTTATCATTTCTCTTTTATTATATTTTAACTATTTGCTTTTTTTTCAATTAAATTTATTTTATTATTTAATTATTTAAAATTGTTCGAAATCTGATAAAGGAGATCTTGATTACTTTCACTTTCAGTATAAGGACTTTTAAACCTATTATGTCAACTTTTTTTATAATAATATTTAATTGACTTTTTGTTACTATTAGTGATAAAACATTTGAAAGTTTTTGTTGTTTCAATAATATATTTGTTATCTTGGAAATTATATCTTCTTTTTTTTTTCCTTTCTTTCTAGATCTAT